GAGGAGCCCCTCTCCTCCTCAGGGGTGTGTGCACGTGTGGGGGAGGGGCCGAGAGTAGCTCAATACCTTAAGCGTAGGGATAGCACTTTTCGGGAGGCACTCGGGGAGCTTGAAATGGGCCCCTACCACAGTGGGGACTCCGTGTCTAGGTGTCCTGTCAAATCTGACAGCCAGAGGGCCGCAGGAGAGGGGCTCTGGGGCTGGCTGGCACGTGCCAAGTCTGACACAGCAGAAGGTGCTCCTTCCCATGAACCAGACCTGGGCCTCACAGATCAACAAGCTGACCTGGGTCGTCTTTGGTCCTGAGCAGGTAAACAGGGCTCAGAGAAAGAAGAGGGGTATCGCTGCAGAGGCGAAGTGGTGGGCCAGAGGCGAGAGCACCAGCCACGTCAAGGGTGCTGCTGATGAGAGGCCCTGAGCTGGGGGTGAAGGGGTTTCCAAAGATCCCAGAGAGAACCCCAGGCAAGAATGTGACAACGAGAACACCCAGCCCAGGCAGGGAGGCTGGTTTAGGACGGCAGCCATCGGGTAAGGTCTGCTCCCCTGCCCTCCTGCCCTGCCTCCATCTTCCTGCCCCAACTCCGAGGGCCAGACAGGGGGTTAGCAATTAGTCATGGCTTTGACTCCTATACGAGATGGGTAATTCCCACTTTACAACTGGAATCACATTTGGCAACTTAAAATGATTACAAGGTCTCTGTATCATCCAGGTGTGCTCAGAAGGGTCATGGGACGGCTGAGTTTTCATCCTGGAGCGGGGAGGTGTTCTACTTGAACTGTGGGAGACAGAAATAAAGTTGCTTTGTGATTCTACCCCTGGAGTCGTGCCAGTTCAGCTCATTGCTACAGACGCACATGAGCTCTCGAAGGTTGGGGAGGATAGGAGAGGGCCAGGGAGGGCCAGGAAGGGGAGAGCTGGGCCAGCTCCCCGAGTTTGGAATTGTGCTGCCCAGACCAGGCACTCTTCAGTGAATGAATGAAGGCATTCATACCTTCCTTGCCTGAACATGCTCTGACCCTAGGTCACTTGCACATCAGCCCTCCCTACTGTGACCTTCTCCAACCCCCTCCAAGACCTAAAATAACCTGACCCAGTTCTTGTCACTTGCAACCAAAAGGGCTCGACACGGATCCCTGATCACCCCTCTGTCAGCCTTCCCCTCCAGATGTTACCACCCCTACATGTACTGTGAAATACAGATAGGAAAGCCAAACAGTCTAGTTAGAAACTGTGACAGATGGGCAAAGGACATGAGCAGATGGCTCCCAGAGAATGACCCGAGAATGACTTCTACAAACAGGCTCAGCCTTGCTCCAGTAAAGGAGTGTAGACTGAAAGTCCAACTATCAACACAGCCAAGATGAAGGAGTTGGAGAGAGCTCCGTGTGGGCAAAGGCCTAAGGTAACCAGCACTCCTGCTCCCCAGGATGCCAATCTATGAGACTTCTTCAGAGGGAAATGTGGAAGATGTTTTAGCACACTCAACTAAGAGATTAATATCACAGGCAAAGAACGTGGAAAAGCAGTGCAGGAAAGCAATACAAGGGACCGATACATATCGAAGGAAAATGTTCAGTTACTAAATCTAAGCCAATTAAAATGAGATGTCTTTCTCTTTCCGTTTCTTTTTCTTGCTGAATTGTCAAAGTTAAAAATGAAATTACCCCTAGTGAAATTCCTGCAACTTTTTTGGAGGGTTGTTTGGAAATTTGTTTCAAGAGCCTTAACCAAGGCCTGGCCGGTGTGTGGCTCAGCAGTTGAGCATGGACCTAGGATCCGGGAGACCAAGGTTCGATTTCCGGTCAGGGCACATGCCCGGGTTGCAGGCTCGCTCCCCAGTAGGGGGCGTGCAGAAGGCAGCCGATTAATGACTCTCATCATTTATGTTTCTCTCTCCCTCTCCTTTCCTCTCTCTGAAGTCAATAAAGACATATTAAAGAAAAAAAAAGAGCCTTAACCAAGTTCAACTTAGAGGTGCATAAAAAGATTCATAAGAAGGCTCATTATAGCACTACTTACAACTGTGACAACTTGAAATTCTCAATGGTATTAATATGTTTCTTACAGATTTTTAAAAAGCCTTTAGTATATCATTATTTCTCACCATCTAGCACAATTAGGATGCGATCATGTAAATAAACTGACAACTACTACAGTGTACTTACTTTTTATTTCCTCAGCATTTTGACATTTTGAGGAGGGCCATTTCCTAAATATACAGGACAGCACAGCACAGCACAGCACAGCACAGCACAGCACAGCACAGCACAGCACAGCACGAGAGCACTTTATCTGCCCTAAACTGCATTCTAGTTGACTTGGGGAGATGGCACTACAGAAGTATTTGGAAGGCATTATCCTAGGCTGTAAGAAATATTCTAAACTGTTAATGAATGTAAAGTAGCAGACCACTGTCACCAAACCTCACAGCCATCCTTGAGGGTGGAGGGCTGGGCTGCAGCGTCATGGAGGGAATGGCGGAAAAATCCTCGATCAGCTCTAGTCACTGGGGGCTTGAGTGTCACCCAGTTTTTCCATCCAAGGGCCAATTCTGTTCTGCCTCTCTGGGGCTGTGCTGGGGGCAGAAGTTCTTCCACTAACAGGCAGGCAGGTCTCTACTGGCTCATCCTTCGTTCTCTATCCCCTAGAATACCTTTGAAAGCCCACCGTCTTCCTCCACTCCAGATCATTCTCTCAGTGGCAGTCTGATTCAGACAACGCATAGAAGTTCTTGCTAAAACACTCCTGAGTGCATTTCCATCAGTCAGAATGGTTTTGAACACCTCAGATGTCGCACGGACCACAGGCCTCTCTTTGGCAAACACCCAGGAAGTCTGGGTCTGGATTATGGCTGCTGCCCGGCCTCAGTCTCTCAAGTGCTTTTACCTCACTTCACCCCCATTCCCACCCAAGACAGGCTGTGTGGTGGGGATGAAGACAGAAAGGAGAGGTCAAGTGACTGGCCGGAACTCACCCTAATAATGGGTGATAGAATTGCTACTGAATCCAGACCCAAGTCCAGAACCAGGCACTTAATTTGGGGGGAGCACTTCCTATGGGTTTGGCATGTAAAGGCACTGGGCATCACAGGCCTGTCTTGGGGGTGCTGGAAAGTTAAAGCATTGGACCCCAAACTCCCCAAGTCCTCAAAGGCAGGCACTGAACCACAGCAACACAGCCAGCCTTCTGAGTTTTTATTTTCTGTTTATTTTTAGTTGTTTTTACAATCCTCAGTGGCCAGGGTTGCTAAAGGGGATCTACAGCGAAGCCACAGGTCATCTGGGCCTCTGTGAAGAAGAGATTCAGCAAGTCACAGAGGAAACTCTCACCCCGACCCAGGTGTCTCTCCACAGATGCAGGTGGGAGGCGAGGCCCCAAACTGACCAGAGCCTGGGGCCATGTTTTTCAGAGCAGGAGAATTTTTGACAAATGTTGACATTTTACAGTGTAAACAGAGACTTGGCTAACCAAGCCAAGACAAGCATGCCCAGGTTCACACCACATGTTCCTGCACTTTTCTCTCCCTTCCCAGTCCAGCCTGCAGAGGGGGAACCACCCCCTGGGCATCAGTCCCAGGGTTTCCTTTCCAAATTCGCATTATAGAAAGTTAGAAGCTGCTAAAGTACAGGTGACAATACCAAAACATTTTAATAAAAGCAATGGAAACAAGCAGATAACTCATTAAATACATTCATTTTGGCTTTGTTCCCGTATCTAAATGCTCAGAAAAATCAAAGTGAACCGTGGACTGCTGTGCTCCTGAAAAGGAGGGGTACCATATTTTAGCACCATTTATGTGAAGGCATTGTTCAATATATAAAACCCTTAAATATGAAATTACTTTAAAGTTCATAATTAAGTTCAATCACAGGGAAACGACTATCAACTGACATTCCAAGCCCCTGACCGTTTCCTTGTATTACCCAGGCTTTGGCAATTTCATCCCTGACCCAGACTTACACCCAAGAAATCAACAGGACTGAGATAAAACTCCAGTCAGTGTTCTCCATTAATCGTCTGGCTATTAATGAGCGCTCAAAATATTTAAATATACAGGTGGCATAAGGCCCAGGAACAGACACATACACAACAAATGGTTTGTTGATATGACATTTCAATACAATTAATGTATTTCCAGACTTAATGGCCACTCTGTATAGTTTAATTATACAGGCTAATCCATTCCACCCTTCCCAGTCATAAATTTCAATTTACCATTAAAAAAATACAAATGGGACAGCTCCCCTCCACCATACCTAAGTCTGCTGGGTCCCCTGCTGTGAGGCCTCCTGCGCATAACACAGTCACAATGGGAGTGCAGACCAGCACAAGCACTCACATACACGCACGTGCATGCATGCACATACAACACACACGCCCCTCCTGGGCATGGTGAGCCCACATTGCCCCCAATGCTACTGCCAACAGGGTGCTGGGCAGTCAAACCAGTTTAGTTCTGTGCTTTTCACAGCTCCAGCTTATAAATGGAATTACACAAGCATTAAAAAGAGGTGCCCACCTTTATTCTCCGTACAGCTCAGCACTGACTCCCTGGTCTCTCCATCCCCTCAGAAAAGATCAACAATGAGGTTTCCCTAAAGCATTCAATGTTACACTTCTGTTACATGGGGACTTACTAACTTTAGAAAAAAGGAATTTGCAGAACCCACGCATATAAGTCCCTCCACTCTCAGACTTTTATCCGTTTCTAACTGAAGCTCAGGTCTGTTGGGCATCTGCTGCTTTGTTTCTAAGCGGGATTTCTCATCTAAAATCAGTCCTTCTTCAGTTTACCTCTTACAGTTCCTTGGACCCTGCTTCTGCTGAACTATTTGGGGACTCCAGGTGTTTCTCACATTTCAGATTCACTTCACAGTAGTCACAGATCTTTTTTAAAAGGCATTTATTTTTATGTATGCCTGCAAGTGAGATGCCCTGGAGGTATATACTTCTGAAAATACTTTCTGGCTTTCCAGGGGAAGTATCTGCAAAGTGTTGCTTAAGAGAGAAAATAATTTAACTTTATTTTAACATCAGAAAAGTGACACAGCCAGGGAGACTACTGGAGTCCTACATATATGCCATGGTAAGGGCGGGAACTAGATCATTAAATGCAATACAGCAGCACTTCACAGTCATTATCTGGAAGATCTTTAAAAACTAAACTACGAGCTCACAAGGAAAACAACACCTTGGGGTGAGGGTGAGAGCAGGAGAATAACACAGTCTCTTAAAAAAAACCAAACCACACAACCACAAAGGTCGTTTCGTCGCAAAGGTCGCTTCTCTGTCAGAGGTGTTAGACTCATGTGGCCTCAGATTTTACCTGATAAGCTCTAGAATTGGAGGGGAAACAACTAATGAAAGAATGCAAAGGCAATATCTGTTTCCCTTAATCAAAGAAAAATTTCATCAGGCATTAAGTGAATATATAACAGTATAATAGAAGTGTAAATGGCTATATAAAGAAAACAGGGTCAGTCTTGTTCTGTGCATTTAAAACATTTTCAGATATGCTGTATCCAAAGGAAGAGAAACTGCAAACATTTCAGATCAAATTCCCCCTACACCTAGATGGTAAGTGAAAGACCACACACTGGCCTTTTGTTCTCAACCGCTGCCATCACTGCTCCATGTGTATGAATGAAATGAATGGACGCTGTATATGTAGGTGAGGAGGGGGACCGGGAAGGAGTTCCGAAGGAGCAATGTTAATTCCATGGAACTTGTTAGATGGAAATTCTTTTAGGTTTAAATGCACCTTAAATGAGCTCAAAGGTGTAAGTCATGCCTGCTTAAGGGAGAGATCATCTTTCTGTTAAAATCATAGGGTCCAAAACTCTTGCAATAAACTCTTGGACTGAAAATAAGCACAGGGTAGTTCCCACTACCTTCCTTTTAGATAGTTTAATCATTTTAGAGATCCCTCTAAGTAATTATCCTCCTGAATCCATTTTGATCTGAATTTAATTTCCATTCTGCTCCTGTCACCTGACCAGCCCAAGACCAGGAACAAGAAATGGAATTAGGACTCTGGGTAACTGAAGTTGCATGGTGCAACAAAGAAATGTTAAAGTTGGCCAACCATCTATATTTCCTGAGGTTCTGTTTCATTGCAGCTTTGCTTCTCTCATGCCATGATCCCGCTAAGCCTGGACAACAGTCTGAGAGCAGTACAATAAGGCCTTGAGACAGAAAATAAGTTAAACTCATCCTTTTGAATTTTTATCAGTGTGGTGGTGAAGACCACAATTTCTGCACACACTCTAACAATATCATACACAGGAACAAGAAAAAAGTATAAAATGTAAACAATTAAGTTGCCCAGAAGTCCAGTTCAAGTTCACTGAGATTATTTTCAAAACTCAAAGACAAATGATCGTGTTATTATCATGAGTATCATTAAATTCAACAGTGGGTATGAACAAAGTCAGAGGAACACAGATCCCTACTGCTTTGTTCAACCTAAACATTAAAGCTTTTAAAAATATTCAAGAATGAATGGTACCTATTTCCTGTGTTACAACTACTAAAATGAAACATCAAAACCAACAAGAAGTCATTATTATTACTTGAACTTGGCTTCTAGGCACCTCCTATCCGAGGCACCATTGCATTTCACAGTGAAAAACACAAGCCTCTCTAATCCACACACATTTAGAGAATTTGATTCAGTGAATTAGCATCTACCAAAATGTGGTGACTATTACTGATGAGGTAATGGGGAACATACTAATGTAACAGTCTGCATAGTTCTGTGTGGCCTCTGAGTTTTCTGAACTAAGAATTTGAATTTTTAAGTGAAAGCAAAACTTAGATTTTTAAAAAAGGTTTGCCCCTCTCGAGAAAAAAACAGATTAGAAAGATTATAAACTTTATTAAATTGGACCAAATAAAAAGATTTAAGTTATTCTAAAGTAAAGCTCAGTACTTCAAGGAAACACCACCCCACAAATGCTGAGCCAATTCAGGAGCTGCTGATACAACCCTAAAGAGCGACATGTCTGGTTACTGGGAACAGTGTCCATAGTCCATGCCTCACATGGACAATTCAGGCCCTCATGCTGACCATGCTCAGCTAGGCTGCCCTGTAACCACTATCTGGTCACCATGCTAGCCTGTGACCACGCAGGCAATCACTCACGGCCAGGAACACTGCCTCCCTCAGGCTTTCCATACCAAATCAAAGACAGATGTGGCTCAGCCATACTTTTGCACTCAGTTTTAGTCACTTCTGCTTATACTAACTCATGAAAAACCTTAGACACTGTGCTGCTACTCATCCCCTACCTGCAGATGAATTTGGCAATAGAAACACCCTAAAAAAACAGCATGAAAAGGGAACAGGAAGACCTGGATCCAGCTCATCCCACCCTGAACTCAAGTGCCTGAGCTCATTTGGCCTTGGCTTTCTCCTCTAAAAACGCAGGTAGGTCTCAGCACTGTTCTGACTATAATGGTGAATCTATGAGCACAGTAATAAAAGCTCCCGACACTAGAACTCAACTACAAGCAGCTACAGAGCACCACTTGCACCCAGCATCAGACCCGGTGTGGCTGTGGCCTCAACACCTGTCAAGTACTGGACTAGCAAGAATTTCCAGGTACTACCGCCTCCCTCCTGCTCCAGCTCCTGCTTCAGCCTCTGAATAACTCATTTTTGGACCCAATTCTTAATCTTCTATTAAGTAATCTGTTTAGAACATCTTTAATTATTATGTAAATCCAAACCACTGCTTGACGAGACTATCAGAGGATGTTCAGACTGTGCCATTAACAGATCCCAGAAATACACTACATAAGCAGACTGCATAGGAAGGGCACAAGAGAGACCCATTACCACCAAAACAAAAAAAATTACTGTTCAAAAAGAAAAACTGAAAGCCAGTTTACTATTAGAGAAAGTTTGATTTGAGATATAAAGAATATTCCTCCCAAAATGAGTCTCCTGATACGAAAGTATTTATGGAAAAAAATGTAGTTTGCACCTTCCAACAGGTGTGCTCTGAAGGGCCCCACTAAAACATATTGCATCATGAGGGAAAAGCCTGGTTAACTCTTATTATCAAAAGTTAGTCTTCAGAATATCCCAGGCCACTTGACAGGGTCCAAGAGTTCGTGTAATTCATTCTAAGAGACCAGCAGGCCGAGGGTGGCGCCAAGGAACTGCGTGCACACCTTGGCCCCACTGCCAGGCTGTCCAGGTGCACGTCTCTCACAGACTAGTCTCCTCGCACACTCTCACGGGGATATTGTAGTGCCGATCGTCCTCGGCGATCAGGGTCACCACTGGCCAGTCCTTGGGTGGGTCTGTGGGGTAGACTGTAATGAACTCTTCAGTGCCGTACTTGGAGAGCCGGTACACCTGGATGGTGTGGCACACAGCATAGGCGAGAAGGAACATTTCAATCTGGGGGGAGACCAAACGAGTAAGTAGGGGGCAGCAACCATGAAAGATGCCACTTACCACCAGCTCCATCCCAGGTATCCCAGGCTATGACAGCTAAGCAAAAACCTTTCTTCTTCCCTGTGGGTCCAGCCCCAGTCCTCTTACATGTGGCCATTATAAACAAGCAAATCGCCAAGAATGGATCACATCATGTCTGATGAGGGACTTGTAACCAGAATTTATAAAGAGCTCTTACAACTCAACAACAAAAAAAATGACCAGTTTAAAAATTGAGCAAAGGATCTGAATAGCTAGTTCTCCGAAGAAGATATGCAAATGGCCAATATGCACATGAAGAGTCATCAGGGGAATGGAAATACAAACCACAGTGAGACACCACTGCACAGCCTCTAGAATGGCTATGATCAAAAAGACAGATGTGGGGGAGTAACTGCTTACCACATATGTGTTTTTCTTTTGGGGCGATGAAATATTTTGGAATTTGATACAGGTGGTGGCCACACAGTGTAAATGTACTAAAGGTCACTGAGCTGTACACTTTAAAATGGCTATTTGGCCCAGCCGGGCATGGCTCAGCAGTTGAGCATCGACCTAGGATCCAGGAGATCACAGTTCAATTCCCGGTCAGGGCACATGCCCGGGTTGCAGGATCAATCCCCAGTTAGGGGCATGCATGAGGCAGCCGATCAATGACGACTCTCTCATCATTGATGTTTCTCTCTCTCTCTCCCTCTCCCTTCCTCTCTCTGAAATCAATAAAGATATATTTAAAAAAATAAAAAGGCTATTTGTATGTTATGTGAGCTTCACCTCAATAAAAAAGAAGTATGTGAGGATGTGGAGAAATGGGACTCTGAAACTCTGCTGGTAGAAAGGACAAATGATACAGCTGCTTTAGAAAATTGTGGCAGTTCCTCAAATCTCTAAACAAAGAACTGCCATATGATCCCACAATTCCACTCCTAGGCCTATACTCAAGAGAACTGAAAACATGTCCACACAAAAGACTTGTACATGAATGTTCATAGCAGGATTATTCATAATAACTAAAAACGGAAATGACCCATATACCCATCAACTGATGAGTGGGTGAATAAAACATAATATATCCATACAATGGAATAGTATTTGTCAATAAACAGGAATGAAGAACTGACGCATGATACAATATGCATGAGCCTTAAAAACATTAGGCTGTAAAAGAAGCCAGTCACAAAAGACCATGTATTATGATTCCATTTATATGAAATGTCTATAACAGGCAAATCTATTGTGATGGAAAATAGGTTAGTGGCTGCCTAGGACTGGGAAGAATGGGGGATGAGTACTAATGGGTATGAGGTTTCTTCTAGGGGTGATAAAATGGCCTAAAATTAGACTGTTGTAATGGCTGCAAAACTCTGTAAACATAGTAAAAACCACTGAGCTGCACACTTTAAAAGGGTAAACTTTATGGTAGGTAAATTATATCTCAATAAAGCTGTTTTTTAAAAATTGGACTCTCCATAACAGCAGACCTTGTGGAGACCCAGAAAGGACTTAGTCTGATATGCAAAACACACTTTACTACAAGTTATTAGCTACGTTCAGGAGACGTAGGTCATCTACATTACAAGTACAGATAAATTTTTAAATAATTATCTTCAATCCTGCCTGACCATCTCTTTGCTCTTTCCTACAGAACCAGGAATAGGCAAGCCAAAGAGTCAGCCATGGAAGTAGGAAGGTAGCACTTTGGAAGGATAACCTTAAGGCTACTTTAGTGGTTGGCTATTCCGCTAAAAAAAGACTAAAGCTTTTTAGGGCAACGTAATGAACTCACCAACGATAGAAAGTGCAAAGTGAGTCAACTGCTGGCTCACGGGACAGTACTACACTGGGTCTCTGTGTAAACTCCAAACTTAGCACATCTGTAAAAGGTCCAAGAGCAGGCTGCGCTCTACTGGCTAAGGTGACTCCATTTCTATATTTGTAGCTAATACAGCTACAGCTGCCAAGATTAAAAGAGGCCCTTTAGATGACTTTTTTTTTTTTTTTGTAGACTACCAGAACCAAAGATACTGATCCCATCCACCGCCCTGCAGAAGAAAGCCCAGGCTGAGATAACCATGGTGGTTCTAAAATAGGTTCACAATTTTTTAAGTGTGGGGCAGACTTGCTAAAAAATATAATATGGTGTAAGTAATGGGGTATGACTTCCAAGAATAGATCATAAAAGACATTGTGGCTTCTTCCTGTCTTCTTGAACTACTTTCTGAGAGAAGCCAGTTGTCATGTTGTGAGGACACTCACGCAGCCCTATCTATAAAAAGCCCCACACGGCAAGGTACTATCACCTACCAGTGAGGGGCTGAGGCTTCCTGCCAATAGCCAGGTGAGTGAGCCATGTTGGACATGGATCCTCTAGCCCCACTCGAGTCCTCATATTGCAACCACCTGAGACCCCAAGCTAGAACCACCCAACTAAGCTGCTCCTGAATTCCTGACCCCAAAAAGCTGTGAGATAATGTTTGATGCTTAATGCTGGTATTTTGGGATAATATACTCCCAAAGGTAGTAACTCACCTGTTCGAGGCCACCAGTGTTTCCCACCTGGTTTAGATGGTTCCTCAGTAGCTGTCCAGGGTCACTGGATGTGTCCCGAGCAAACAGAAGCACAGAGAAAAATGGTACTTCCTTTCCCTTCTCTTTATCATCATATAGTTCAATGGCTCTGTGTAGCATTAAAAATTTTACAGCTTCATAAAGGCTATATTCTTCCTCTTCATTTGTGAACAGTTCATCACAAGCTATCTGCCTTGCCTCAGCAGTCCTCAGGTCAGCCAAGCCTGCCCACTGCAATAAAAAAAAGTTACGTAATAATTACATTTTTGTTCTAAAAGTTCCTGGTATACTTCCATACTAGGAGCACAAAATCATTTTCAAAAGTAGGCAACCATGGGTCACGTACCAATGATCACAACGTTCAACTTTCCAACTCAAACAATGGTACTACTCTTCAGACCACACAAATTCCTCATTCAGCTTTTGCCCCATTAATTTGAAACAAAAGAACAATGTACTAAGGAGAAACACTGGGACTGTGGAATGGCAATTATGAACCCTAACTTCCCAGGCAATGTGACTGAATCAGTCAATCAGAAATATTCATGGAAGACCTAACGTGCGTGTGACCTAACGTGCGTGTGAGGCCTGGGGGTGAAGCTGTGAAGGGTAGCTGAAATTACTCCTCTCCGTAAGGGGCTTACAGGTACAGTTACCCAGAAACTCCAAGCCAACCTTCAAAAATGAAGATGGGCAAGGAAGACTGTGGGGTCTCCTGAGTATTAGTGTACTAAACTTAACCTTCTAACCTCTTAAAAATCTGCAGGTCTAGAAAATGAAAATTTTAAGGGCGCAGCTTATTGTTAAGGGCCTCCATTTACTCTTAGTGATCATCTAATAAATGCTTTACATTTCGTTTGAAAAATATATATATCTATATGTGAGTTTCAAATGAATAAATCCACTCAGGAAATTCTTATTAACTGCTGATTAAGAATAGAGAAGTGTTAGGTATTCAATCAAAACAGGCAAGCTCTGTATGTGGACGAGAAGACCCCATGTGCACGTCACTTTAAGCTAAAGGAAATGAGGACGAAAGGTGCCAACAGAACACTAGTCCTTACGAATCACCAGTAACCGCTGTTCCTCTGATACCCATTGAAATTTTAAATTCAAGAGTAAATTTTAATGGTAATCACTACACCACAGGACTCTCCAACATCTGGGTTGAAAGCTGGAACTTATTTTCCAGAAGTAGATAAGTTGCCAGTCAAGAGCACGGCTCTAGAGTCAGAGTCAGCATGGAATAAAGCCCTCGCCAGAGCAGCTGGTGGCTTTTGCAAGGCATTAACCAATTGCTGGGCCTTAGTCTTCTCATCTGTAAAATGGGATAACCATAGCAACAATACCTTGGTAGCTGTAATAATTAAATACATAAAACTTTTAGTCACGGCCTGGCCAATAGGAAGTGCTACTAATGTGGCTCAGATTATTAATGAATCATTTTCGTATTATTGTAAATTGAAATCACTTAAACATTCCCCAAAATGAGGATCTAGTTACAGCAGACACACTAAAAAAAGCAAAACTTGCAATTTCACAAGAACTTAAAAAGAGATAAAAAGGAACTCATCATCAGTGGCTGAGCTGTAGAGCCTTCCCACTCACTCACTCCCCCAGGGTCAGAGCCCTGCCCTCAACCCTCCACTGACCCAGAGACAGGGCAGCACAGGCCTTCAGCCCCCATGAATCCTATGCTCTGCTTAACAGGCAAGAACAATAAAATCCCTGTCCTTCTCTTCCTCCCATTTCCTTATCACTAGTGTTCCTTGGACAGTGTATTTTCCAGTAAATACTTCTTATGATTGTAAATACAAACTAGGTTCCAAGAAGTCAGGGTCCTTAGTTCATTCATCAACAAGGTATTTACCAAATGCCTATTATGTGTCAGGCTCAGGTCTAGGCACTGGTTATAAAGCAATAGTCTTTCATGGAGCTAAAAGTCTAATGGAGGTGGCATGGAGCTTACGGTACACGAATTCATGATCACTGAAAATACTGTAAGAAATATGGGCTAGCCCTGGCTGGTGTGGTTCAGCTGGTTGAGTGTTGTCCTGGGTACTGAAAGGTCACCGGTTCAGTTACCAGTCAGGGCACATGCCCAGTTTACGGGCTCAATCCCTGGTCGGGGAACATGAGGAAGGCAGCCGATCAATGTTTCTCTCAGATTGATGTTTCTCTCTCTCCCCAAAATCAATAAAAGCATTTTCTTTAAAAAAAAAGAAATGTGGACTAGAGTATTGCTGAAACTTGTTAGTATGACTTAGCACAAAGACTACATTTGTTACAGTTTCCTTTTAAGAAAGTTAAACAATTCATTAAATATATCTCCTCTGAGAATACAAGATGTTGATATTTCTCAATTTTGCCAAAGACCTCACTGGAAGAGTTTGTGTTCATCCAAAATTATTTTGCCTAAAAACCAGCCAAGGATGCTTGATAGTCCACTAGTGAGGACTAAGACGTGGTCTGCTGAGGGGGACAAGTGGTGATGGAAAGAGACTTGACTTGGTGTGGTGAGCACACAATACAATATACAGATGATGTATTATAGAATTGTACACCTGAATCCTACATAATTTTATTAACCAATGTCACCCCAATAAATTCAAGAAAAAACAAAACAAGAAATGGTGTGCTGGGGCCATTAGGAGCAGGAGTTTGCGCTTCTCAGAGAAAGGAAAATCCATGTCCAAACCTTCTTCCTTAGCAGAGTGAGAGACTCCTTAATTTTATCAGCCAGGTCCTCGCTTTTCCCCTCAAATTTCAATCCAAGTTTCCACTGCTTGATCCAGCTGTATTTACTTATGAGTTTTTCTGGTAACTGCAGTATCAAAAAACAGAGAAGAAGAATGTTAACCTTCCAAAAAGTCCATCACACGTTCCTAGCTGTAAGAAACCACAAAGCCTACAAAACAGACCTTCATTTCCAGAATTCATCCTGCAAACCTGTCATGTGGTTTAGGATGGATCACCTAAATCTGGAGGTCAGGAACTCAGAAAGTACCACTGTAAGGAGGACAGCTAGCGTGAAATGGTAGTTCAGGTTGAGATACAGGGGCATAATCTACCTTGTGCAATGACCCCAGCCAAGAGCCCTACACAGCAATTTGTGAGAGTATGTAAAGGAACGTCTTCACAGAAACCTTCCGGTAGCCACTGGACTCGCTGGCAAACTCCCTAGCCCTCCCTAATGCCTGACTCTAAAAGGCATTTTGGAGCATGTGAGGTGGTTTAGGATTGAGTAAAAATCTGGTCCCTTCCTGATTAGAAAAATAAAACCTAATTTTGATATTAACACATATACTCAAAGTTTTAATATTCAATGAAGCAATATTGTATCTAGTTCAACTGCTTAGTATAGTAAGATAAAAAATACCACTGAGAGTAAGAAGCAGGGGTTAGGGAAGCTGTGACTGATGGCCTAGCTCATTAAAGAAGTGACAGCTAGCCCAGCTGGGCGTGGCTCAGCGGTTGAGCGTGGACCTGGGATCCAGGCGATCGGGGTTCGATTCCCGGTCAGGGCACATGCCCGGGTTGTGGGCTCAATCCATGATTCTCTCATCATTGATGTTTCTATCTGTCTCTCCCTCAAATCAATAAAGATATATTTAAAAAAAAAAAAAAAAA